GGAGCTGTTAGGATCATTTGCTTTTCCAAATAAATTTTGTTATAAGCTTATCATGGCCATGCTGGTTGAAATTTATTTTCACCAGGCTTCCTTCAGAGGGAGCTGGGGGTGGTTTGTTTCTGCCTGGCTTTTGTCCACCCCCCCATGTATCCCCCACCCCCACCCCATCTTTTTGTGCTCCCTGGCTGTCTCCAGAGCCCTTCTACTCGACTTGTCTGCTGTTGTAGTTCTGGAGACTAATAATGTTCCGTTTTCCTCTAACCTAATCTCTCTTTCAAATATTCCCAAATTTTCTTGCCCATTCTTCTCTATTATAGCAGAGACAGGTTTCCGGTGACCAGGTCCAGGGGACCATATGGGGTGCTGGAGATTCAACTTGGGTCAGCTGCACTCAAGGCAAGCACCCTACCCGCTGTACTACCTCTCGGTCCCTTGATTCTTATTTTTAAATGAGGCTTATTGAAATCAAACTTACATACTATAATATCTGTTTTTTTTTATTATGTGGTTTTCTGAGTTTTGAAAAAGCACCACAAAATAAAGACAAGGGATTTGCCATTGCTTAAAAAAGATTCCAGGGGCCAGAAATATCATACAGTAGATAAGGCCTAGAATAGGGTCGGCCCAGATTTGGTCCTCTTGGCACCTGTTATGATTCCCTGAACCTGCCAGGAGTGATCCCTGAGTGCAGAGCCAGGAGTAAGCTCTGAGAGTCACCAGGTGTGTGTGTGGGGGGGGGGTGGGGGTGGGGGGGGAGGAGGGAGGAAGATTTCTTATCCCTCCTTGCCTTTTTCTCTCCTAGTTGTCAGAAAACTGTGAATGTGATTTCTGTACCTAGAGTATTGCCTCTTCTGAATATCATATAATTGGTCTCAAGTAGCATATAACTTTTTGTATTTGGGCTTGGGGTTCTCACTTAGCTCTGTGTCTGTGTTTGTATGTGTGTGTGTGTGTGTGTGTGTGTGTGTGTGTGTGTGTGTGTGTTTTAAAGAAAGTAACTATTTTGAAATAATTTTAGATTTACAGGAATGTTGCAAAATTCATACACAGAGTTCCCACTTAGCATTTACCTGATTTTCCCGCAGGTTAACTTCTTACCTGAGTAGATGATCTGAAGAAGGGTGTTTACACTGATACAGTATAATTAACTAATTTGCAAACTTGGTTTAAAATTTCCTGTTCTCATACCAACATTCCTTTTCCCATCTTTATTGTGTATTCTCATTTAACTGAGCACATTCACTTTGAAGGAAAAATACCGTACAGGTGTGGCATGCTATATGCCTGTTGAATGATATGGTATCAGGAGATAGAGGAAGTTGCCTCTCTTACTACTACTGGTGATGTTAACTTTGATCACTTGGTTTAGGGTTTCACTGATAGGTTTTTCCATGGTCAAATTGCAGTTGCCTTACAGGTTAGAATTCACTGCATTTGTTGCATGATGTTGCTGGAGGGATGAGACTCGTGGTGGAGCATAGCTCTGTTTCCACACTCTTGCCTGGTTGTATTGTGAGTACAGTACACCGGAAGTTAGAGTATCAAATAGCAAAAGTTTTAGAGAAGCAAAGGAAAGCACATGAGCAGGAGGGATGTCCAAAAAGTTATTCTGGGGCCAGAGAGCTCATACAGCGGGCAGAATGCTTGCCTTGCACATGTCTGATCTGAGTTGAATCCCCAGCATCCCATTTGGTCCCCAAACCCTGCCAGGAGTGATCCCTGAGTGCAGAGCCAGAAGTACATTCTGAGCACCACCAGGTGCAGCTCAAACCCCACCCCATCCCCCCAGGACCTAAAAAAGAAAAAAATGGTGTGCCTGTTATTTGTCCAGAGATGTATACAGGAATAAAGAAATTGTTCTTGGGGCTGGAGCGATAGCATAGCAGGTAGGGCATTTGCTTTGCACCGACCTGGGTTCAATTCCCAGCATTCCATATGGTCACCTGAGCACTGCTAGGAGTAATTCCTGAGTGCAAAGCCAGTATTAACCCTGTGCATCACCGGGTGTGATCCAAAAAAGCAAAAAAAAAAAACCCCAAACAAACAAACAAAAACCTGCTCTTAATACAGTTGAGCTCTGAAGACTGATCATAGTGAAGGTTTTTTTCTTATCCATGTGCCAGTATTAGGGCTTTCTCTCTTGTTCCTGCCACCTGGCATTACAGCATCCTGTTGTGTCCTGATTCAGTCCAGGACATGATTCTCCCATGGGTCTGTCTTGGAGAGCCTATTCCCATCTCCTCTGGATGAGGAGACCTTGGGAAACTGCTCCTGCCTGGCTCTGAGCAGGAAGCCTGGAGACGCTGCAGAGTAAACACTTCAAATCGAAGGTGGTAGAGGGGCTGAAGAGATTGCACAGCAGGTAGGGCGTTTGCCTTGCAGACAGCCATCCCAGGTTTGATTCCCAGCATCCCATATGGTCCCCCGAGCACTGCCAGGAGTAATTCTTGAGTGCAAAGTCTAGAGTAACCCCTGTGCATCGCCAGGTATGACCCGAAAAGCAAAAAAACAAAAACAAAAATCGAAGGTGGTCGAATTGAAGAGGGAGTCCCTTTCCCCACGGACAAAGGGAACCCTGAGGATTTCTCTTCCAACATCAGCAGTTCTGGTCGCCAAGTCACATTTCATCGTACGGATGAACCCCACTTCAGGGACCCCGTTTATAAGGTGATGATCATGGGGTTGCTTTCAGTCCTGACCTGTCACTGATAAGCCAATGATATGCTCCTGATGCACATCAGCCATTTCACGAGACACCTAAAGCCAGACCAGGCCACCTTGTGACCATGGACAGTCAGGACAGAACTAAGACATCTCCACTGTTGGGTCTGAGTCCAGACCAAAAGCAAGAACTTTGTTGAAACTTGGGCAATAACATGTGTAAACTCAAAAAAGGGGCACTGCACACAGTGGCGGTGGCTCTATCTCTCCCGCCGCCCGCGTTCGGTAGTCTCACGCTGCTTCCCCCACCCTGGGGAGGTCGATGCCGATGGGCAGGCAAGGGAAGGAACGAGGGCCAGGCTGGTTGGTCTTAGTTGCAGTTTATTCCAATCACACCAGTCTCCCTACAGATAAACAGAATGGAATGGAAGTGCCTCAGGAGCACTGTAATGGTGTAACCTGATAAACCTAAGCTCCTTGTGGAGGAAGGACAAAGCAATGTCATCCTACATCTCCCCCTTTTCTGTTTACAAAAACAGAAAAATTTGAAATAGAAAGAGTAAAGGAGGAGGAGTCCGGTCCTCCTGTTGTTCATTGATTTGCTCCAGCGGGCCCAGTAACGTCTCCATTGGAGACTTTGTTGTTACCGTGTCTGGCATATCGAATACGTCACGGGGGGCTTGTCAGGCTCTGCCGTGCGGGCGAGATACTCTCAGTAGCTTGCCGGGCTCTCCGAGAGGGACGGAGGAATCGAACTCGGGTCGGCCATGTTGGCTGCTTGTAAGGCAAATGCCCTACCATTGTGCTATCGCTCCAGCCCTAATTAGGAAGAGTTACAAACACAAAACAAACACAAAAGTCTCATTTGTTGTACTAAATCTTCAGTCCATCCCTGAACCCAGAGCAGTGCTTGTTGCAAAGTGTCCGATAGTCCTGTACTGTCCAGGGGTGATCAGGGTCATTTAGTCACATGTTGAAGAAATGAAGTGTCTGGATCACAATTTGAAGAGTTGTTTCTGCTACAGCAACAGTGTTAAGCCTAAATATTTGGAGCTATATTCCAACAATAACAAATCATTCTCCTTGCCCAGCTGCTGTTTCCTGACCCATCAGAGCTCGGGTCTCACCTTCTGGATAAGATTCATGAAAAGATTCAGCCAGTGCGTCCTGTTTGCGGGCAGCAGGCCAATCCAGGACAAAGTCCCATTTCCTTGAGCCCTCCCCGGTCTCATTGAACCCTGGCCCAGAGCCTATAATCCATCTTTTCTCACCTTGTCACTGACCCCTAGTGGGACCTCAGGGGGTGAGGTACAGCGTGCTAGTCTTGGCTGGAACCCCTGGGCCATGTAGACAGACATCACAGAGGCACATACCTTGGAAATTCTGGCTTCTGCTTTTGTCCCCGTACATTCCATTTTATACTGCAGTTCTGTTTATGAATTCTCGTGAGTTCTTCCATTTGAGAAAAAAATGGGTCAGAGAGAACCATGGGTACCAGTGCTGGGGATCAAACTCAGGTCAACCTGCTGAGCTCTCCCTGCCCCCCCATTATTTTATTTAATTAATTAATAAATTAATTTAGTTTTACATCACACCCAACGATGCACAGGGGTTACTCCTGGCTCATGCACTCAGGAATCACTCCTGGCGCTGCTCTGGGGACCATATGGGATGCTGGGAATCTAACCTGGGTTGGCCGAGAGCAAGGCAAACGCCCTACCCGCAGTGCTATTGCTCCAGCCCCACCCTGTTATTTTAGAGTACAGTTATATACTTTAATTTGGTCACATTGCAGTTCACCTTTTTAGAGTACAGTGTTCTACTGGTTTGGACACAATACTGTCATAATCAAGATGTGGGATGGTCCCACCCATTACCACCCCACCTGGTTCCTCATCACTCCTTTCCTCTCACCCAACCACTGACGTATGTTTTCTGTCTCTGCAGTTTCAGAATGTCATCGCAGTAGAATTGCACAAACATTATTTTTTTCCATAGCAGCCACAGTCTAGATTGCAAAAGAGCCATTGTTTATTGACTTCGTCTCCTTTTTTTCCAAGTTGGGTCCAAATTAAATCAGGTCTATATGTAATTCTGTCAATCGGTAGCAACTATAAAGATATGCTGCTGGCATTGTTAGGAAATCTTTTTTTTTTTCCACGTTCTTTTTTAAATTTTTGATGCCAGCCATCAGACCCTAAGAGCAAAGCGTACTCTCCACCACCGAGCTACCTCCCCACCTTCTGCTCCTGAAGATTTGTGTTAAGGGCATTCTTTTGCACGTATCTCTGTAGGAAAACATGTATTTTTGATGGTTTCCCTTTGTTTATATTCTAAAGCCCACCCGGGAATCAGTCGTACTGAAGAACCCAGATGCGAGCCCTCCAGACGGCCCCGAGGAAGCTGGTTTCCCAGCTGTTCTGTGGACTGAAGTCTTCTGCGGCCACAAGAGCCCAGATTTGCCTGACGATGTCGCGTCCAAGTTCAAGTAAGTCCTGCTTAGCATACTCTGTCCTCCCTCCACTGGAGTTGGAAGCTCTGTGTGTGTGTGTGTGTGTGTGTGTGTGTGTGTGTGTGTGTGTGTGTGTGTGTGTTGAGGGACAGGGCTTGTTCTGCGCTGAAGAGAGCTGGAAGGTTTGTCGCGTCCAAGTTCAAGTAAGTCCTGCTTAGCCTAGCCTGTCCTCCCTCCACTGGAGTTGGAAGCTGTGTGTGTGTGTGTGTGTGTGTGTGTGTGTGTGTGTGTGTGTGTATTGAGGTATTGAGGGTCAGGGGTTTGTCTGCGCTGAGAGAGCTGGAAGGTTTGGGAGAGAAGATGTGTGTGTGTGTGTGTGTGTGTGTGTGTGTGTGTGTGTGTGTGTGTGTTGAGGGGCGGAGGTTGGTCTGCGCTGAAGAAAGCTGGAAGGTTTGGGAGAGTGAGGCTGTTGTCTACTCATCGGTGCAGGTGGATGAGCAGACCACAGCTCTATTTCAGACATTTTCTTATTTCTCCCAGAATGGTCTCCCAAGATCCGCACACATGACTTTAGTTTACTTTATTTATTTATTTATTTATTGCTTTTTTGGGTCACACCCTGCAATACTCAGGGGTTACTCCTGGCTTTTTACTCAGGAATTACCCCTCGAAGTGCTTGGGGGACCATATGGGATGCCAGGGATCGAACCCAGTTCGGCCGCATGCAAGGCAAGGGCCCTACCCGCTGTACTATGGCTCCAGCCCCTAGTTTATTTTCTTGAGGGTGGGGGGACGTGACTGGCCAGTGCTCAGGGGACCGTGCAGAGTTCCCACAAAGCTTCACTTCAGCTGTTGCACCTTCTTCCTGCCCAAACTGACTTTTGGCTCCTCACCTCTTTCCAGGGAGCTGATACTGGTGACAGTCCTACAGGGTAATACAGGGTTAACTATTCTGCTGGACAGAAATGATGCAGATACAGCCTTTGGATCAACACTACCTGGGCCCTTAAGCTTTTGTCAGCCCCAGCTCCCCCCCCCCCCCACACACACACTCTCCAAAAGTAGAATGTTCTTAGTTGACATGATGCTGGTAACTTATGGCATGGTCCTGGAAATGCCGTTACCAGTCAGTCATTTGTACGGAATTTTTTTGAGTACCTGGACCTCCAAAATAACTTTGACAAGAGGAATGTTCTATTGGATCATGGGGAAAGGCTGGCTAGAAGAACCCAACAAATCTGTATGAAAAGTGATCTTTGGAGATCCAAGAGATTGTAAGATTTTCACCTTGCATGCGGCCAACCCTGGTTGGATCCCTAGCACCATGTATGGTTTCCCAAGCACAGAGCCACTCTCAGTAGCACCTGAGAACAGCTAAGTTCTCATGTGTTCTCAACAGCATGGCCCAAATGCCCCCCACTCCAAAAAAAAAAAAAATCAAACAAGTGATCCTTGGTTGGGCGTTTTAAACAGGGCTTCAATACATCCAATTAAAAAATAAAGGCTGATTGTATGATTGTAACTCAAACATGAAAGCTTGTAGCTGTATCTCATGATAATTCAATAAAATAAAAATTAAAACGAAAACAAAAACAAAGGCTTATCGTCCCCGTAAAAATACCGAATGCCCTGAACAAACACCATGGCCTCTTAGTACCTGTATTGCAAACCATAACGCAATGAAAAGGAGAGAGAGAGAGCAAGAAGAAAAGTGCCTCCCACAGAGGGAGGCTGGAGGAAGGGTGTGGGGGTTGAGGGATGGTGATGGGGAAAGGGGGGACATTGGTGGTGGGAAATGCATGCTGGTGGAGGGATGGGTGCTGGATCATTGTATGACTGAAACCCAATCATGAACAGCTTTGTAATGGCCTCGCCGGGGCCCCTTGGAGGGGAGCGGGTTGAGTTTTCCTCCCCGCCCCGACCAGGGCTCCGGCAGTCAAAGACCTCCAGAACCAGCCACCACCATGCTGAGACCACTCTCCGCACACATGAAGGTAGCGGCAGAGGAACAAAGGCATGCGGGTCCCGGGGCTGAGATCTCCAAGCCTACTCGGATCGGGCTGAGCATCCTCCACCCAGATCCTCCAAATTCCAGTAGGCGGGGCTCACACCCACCAACTGGCCCCCTGGTGCCGTGTAATCACATCAGCGGCCAAGACTCATAGACTATAAAACTCAGCTCCCGGAAGCACGTGGCCGCATTTGCGGCCGCGCGACATCTTATCATCTCATTCCTACTTTGGACAAACTGGCAGGCTACCGAATGTAACCTGCCCACATGGTAGAGTCTGGCAAACTCTCCGTGGCGTACACAATATGCCAAATACCAGTAACAATGAAGGGTCTCTCATTCTCCTAACTCTGAAAGAGCCTTGAATATGGCACTTTTTAAAAAAAATCTCAGGGCTAGGACGAAGGAGACGTTACTGGGGCCTGCTCGAGGCAATCGACGAATAACAGGATGGTTGTGATTGTGATTGTGATTGTAATGGTCTGTCTCACAGATATCCAATTAAAAAAATTAAAAAACAAATCAAAACGTGGAGTTCATGCCCAATTCAATCAGCTTAATCAGTGGCTGAATAAATAGCAGTACACCTATGTTTAAAAATAAAAATAAAAAACAAAGGCTGGAGAGAGGCTAGGGCACTTGACTGGCATGCAGATGACCCAGCATCCTGCACGATCCCCAGAGCCCACCAAGAGGAATTCCTGGGCACAGAGTCGGGAGTAACTCCTGAGCACTGCTGGTGTGATCCCAAAGCCAAAAACAAATAAAACAAAAACCCAGCTGAACTCTCTGGCCCTATTTTTTATCTTTTTTTTTTTTTTGCTTTTTTGGGGGGTCACACCCAGCGATGTTCAGGGGTTACTCCTGAACATCTGCACTCAGGAATCACTCCTGGCGGTGCTTGGGGGACCATATGGGATGGGACCATATGGGATGGGACCATATGGGATGCTGGGAATCGAACCCGGGTCGGCCGCGTGCAAGGCAAACGCCCTACCTGCTGTGCTGTCACTCCAGCCCCCTCCCCATTCTTATCTTTTGATAACTTTTCTGATACTTCATTTTTGCTTAGGTATAATATTTCCTACTTCCGTCTGCCCAGCTTCAGGAGAGAAAAGAATGCGAAGTACCCACTCAGCTGCCCTCCCTGGTTGTCTCTGGCTGCCAGAGGCTCTGGTGACCCCACAAGCTCAGTGGTATAATCCCCCCGCAACCGGTGCTGTGGTTCTTGGGGTGTTCATGAAGACCCTCCACCCCCCCCCAAAGCTTTCCCACCACACCAACATCCAATATTATTGTATCATCCATCCTTTTCCCCAAGAACGCAGCATGGATTGACTTCAGAGGGATTCCCAGCCACCCCGAAAGTGCTCAGGGGACCCAGTAGCGCACCAGCAGAGCTCAGGGAACCAGGCGGTGCAGTGTAGGACCTGCCCAGCTGTCAGGGAACCAGAAGGCAGGGCACAGTGCCAGGGTGGGCAGAGTCAAGGCTGCGTGCCCCGTGTCCCTGCAGTCCTTGCTTGCTTTTATAAATTGGGGGAGGGCGGGGGTCATCATTGGTGGGGCTGACCGTGTGGTACTCCCAAGGCCCCAGGGCTACATGAGGATGGGGGCGGGGCGCACCATGCCGTGCTGGGGATGGAACCCAGGGCCTCCTACATGCCAGGCGCCTGCTTCCCTCTCCTAAAGCCACACCCATGCCCCCCAACCCCAACCCCACCCCCTGGCCTCTTGGTCAGGACCCCGTGACCTCTGTCACACATCAAGCCTCGAGGATTGAGCCTGCACGGTTCGGGACTGATTTCTGCCCTGATGTTGTTATGGATAATTTCACACCAGGTCGAGGTTGGAAATAGAGACGGTATAATTCCAGGCGGTTCCCGGAATTAATGAAGGTATTCTTCTCTGTCTAGATATGGCCGATTTTCGGAAGCTCTTCGCCAAAGCGAAGCACATAGTCATCCTCTCAGGGGCTGGAGTCAGCGCGGAGAGTGGGGTTCCCACGTTTAGGGGGGCTGGAGGCTACTGGCGGAAATGGCAAGCTCAGGTGAGTGCTGTCTGTAGGACACTCCGGGACTTGCCCTGAGTGATGCAGAGTTGAACTGTGAACTTTTGCGAGCACCTGAAACCCATAAGGAACATTTCGAAGTGGACACTGACCCTTTCACTCTGTCCCTGGGGTTCGGACCTCAGTTTGGAGGGGGGTTTTAGAAAATGTCTCTTTTTTTCTTTTTATCCTTTTTTGGTGACCATTTTCAAAGTTGATTTATTATGACGTTGCAACGCTATGGTGTCTCCGGGGGGCCAGCTCACCACCCCAGCCGTGTACAGGCTTCCCAACACCTACCACCAGAGTCCCAGGACCACCTCCCCAAACCCTGCCATCTCTCCTGTATGCTGGCTCAAATCAATGAGGCCCCACTTCCCTTTCTGTCCAGCAGTATTTTGCATTTATCCAGATAGCGATTCGATTTCTCCCAGTAACTAAAGTGGAAACCCTTAGTCAACACAGTTCACTGCTTTTTTTCCCTATAGTTATTATGTAGATTGAAAGTTTCTGTGAACTCCCAAGGACAGTAGATACAGGGGCCAGGAAGATTGCTCCATAGCTGGAAGCCTGCCTCATGAGCGGAGGGGAGAAGGCAGCTGGAACAGAGAAGGGATTACTAAGAAAATGATGGTTGGAGGGATCGCTCGGGATGGGAGATGTGTGCTGAAAGCACATAAAGGACCAAACATGATAGCCTCCTCAGTGTCTGTATTGCAAACCATAATGCCCAAAAGGAGAGAGAGAGAGAGAGAGAGAGAGAGAGAGAGAGAGAGAGAGAGAGAGAGAGAGAGAGAGAGAATGGGAAATATTGTCTGCCATGGAGGCAGAGGGAGGGTGGGAAAGGGGGGTGTATATTGGGGATATTGGTGGTGGGGAATGTGCGTTGATGGAGGGCTGAGTGTTTAATCATTGTGTGATTGTAACTCAAACATGAAAGCTTGTAACTGTATCTCACAGTAATTCAATAAAATAAAAAAAGAAACTTTCTGTGAACTTCCCCTGTTAAAATCACAATTGATTATTGAAGGCTGAGAACTTGATGATTAAAAATGGTCTCTAAAGACCATGAGGCTATAAAATTCTCTGCCAGCCTGGATTTAGTTTTTTTTTTTTTTTTAACAGAATTCAGAGCTTCATGCCTGCAAGGGAGGAACTCTCGCCCTCAGCCACACCTCTGGCCCAGCTAATGACTGTTTTTTTTTTTTAACTACATCTCAGGGTACACAGGGGCTTCCCCTACTCAGTACTCAATGGTCACATTCAGAAATGCAGGGATCCTCTGTAATGCTGGAGGACAGCTGGGTTGGGGGGAGGGGAAGCACCTCCCTGTACACAGCACAGCTCTGGGTCTCCGCTGGGCTGTCTCCATGCACCTTTTGGGTTTTTTGTTTTGTTTCGTTTATTATTTTATTTTTTTAGGAAATGATTTTTAATAAATAATTTTATAGAAATAATTTGTTTTATTATTATTTTTTGAATTGAATGATCATGGGACACACAGTTACCAAGTTGTTGGTGATTGGGTTTCAGTCATACAATGTTCCAACATACATCCCTTCACCAGTGTACATCTCCAGTTGTCCACAGTTTCCTTCCTGACCCCCACCTTGCAGCCTGCCTCAGTGGCAGGCACTTTTCTTCTCTCTCCCCTGCCTTTCTCTCTCTCTCCTTCCTTCTGGGCATTACAGTTTTTAATGCAGGTACTGAGAAGTTATCATGCATATCCTTTTACCTCCTCTCAGCACTCAGTTCTTTTTTTTAAATTTCTTTCTTTTTTCTTTTTGGGTCACACCCGGTGATGCTCAGGTGTTACTCCTGGCTTTGCACTCAGAAATAACTCCTGGTGGTGCTCAGGGGACCAAATGGGATGCTGGGAATCGAACCCGGGTTAGCCACGTGCAAGGCAAATGCCCTACCCGCTGTGCTATCGCTCCAGCCCCGTCTCAGCACTCAGTTCTTGTCCAGCATGACCATTTCCAATTATCATTGTCATAGTGGTCCGTTCTTTATCCTAACTGCCCTTCCCACCCCCACTCCCTGCTTATAGCAAGTTTCCAATCGTGAGTTAGTCTTCCTGGCCCTAGTTTCTACTGTTCTTGGGTATTATTTTCATGCTACCTTATTTTTATATGCACAAAGAAGTGCAGTCAGTCTATGTCCATCCCTCTCCTTCTGACTCATTTCACTGAGCTTGATAATTTCCATGTCCATCCATTTTTAAGCAAATTTTGTGACTCTATTTTTCCTAATAGCTGCATAGTATTCCATTGTGTAGATGCACCATAGTTTCTTTATCCAGTCGTCTGTTCTTGGTCACTCGGGTTGTTTCTAGATTCTGGCTATTGGGCATAGTGCAGATGGCTTTTCTGCTCTGTGATTTTGGGCCCCCAGGGATCTCTTGTTGAATGGGCTTTTTTAATTGGGGTACCATATACATAAATGCAGTTTACCACTTTCAGGTGCAGTATCTAGTGCATTTTAATAGTCATCTGTGCTGGAGAAGCTCTGCCTGGGGGTCCACAGGGCATGTCCCAGCCCAGACACTGCCCCACAGTCCTCTGTGATCTACCCCCTTCATTCCCTGGCCCATAAACTGGATATTTAGACAGGGTGCAGGGGCTACTCCCGTCCCTGTGCTCAGGGCTCCCTCCTAGCACTGTTTGAGGGACCTGTGGGGTGTTAGGGATAGAACCGGGGGGATCAGCACCTGCAAAGCTGATGCCTTAATCCCTGTGTGTGTGCGGGGAGCATGAGGTGGGTCACATGATCTCCACCTTATACCTGGGGAGAGTGAAACCATCTCTCAGGCTCCTGTCTATGTTCCAGGACCGAAGCACACGGTTGGTGTCCAGGCCTGGCCCTGTGTCTGCCCCGTTGCCAGCCTGCCACAGACGGCTTGCCCCCTCCTGACCCCGCCCTGCCCCTGTTTTTTATTCATGTGAAGTTTTTCTGGTGCTGGTGGGGATCGAACCCCCAGACAGCCTCCTGCATGTGTGCCCTGCTGCCTGCCACCCACCTTTGGCCCTTTGCCTGCGTCCGTGTCACATGGCCCAGGCCCGCGAGTGTTCCGGAGCGTGAGCTCACGTCCCACCCCTGTTCCCAATCTGACCCCGTTCCTCCTTTCTTCCCAGGACCTGGCCACACCACAGGCCTTTGCCCGGAACCCGTCCCAGGTGTGGGAGTTCTACCACTACCGGCGGGAGGTGATGCTGAGCAAGGCCCCCAACCCAGGCCACCTGGCCATTGCCGAGTGTGAGGCCCGGCTGCACAAGCAGGGACGGCGTGTCATGGTCATCACCCAGAACATTGACGAGCTGCACCGCAGGGCTGGCACCAAGAACCTTCTGGAACTCCACGGTGAGCGAGCTGCCCAGTTTCCAGCATGGATTTCACCCTTTCCCATCAGGGCTCATCAAACCTGATTCTGGGGTTCAGCATGGGGACAGGACCGTGGGCATCTCGTGTGTGTGTGTGTGTGTGTGTGTGTGTGTGTGTGTGTGTGTGATGGAGAAGAACTGGTCTGCCAGTCACATGAGCACCCTCAGGGCATGCTCTTGGGTCTTCTGAGCCACATCCCCCTTCTCCCCCCCCCCCCACCCCGGGCTTCAGGGAAGCTGGAGCTCTGGGGCTTCAGCCGGAGTCTTAGCGGAATCCAGTCTGGAGAGACCCAGCAACTCTGGGGGCGCCCTTTCCTTCCCTCTCACCTCCCTGCACAATTCTTCCCAAGGACATTTGCGTGCAGGAGTCCACAGGGTGTCAGTCCCTTCAGGTGGCATTTCTAGAAGCACAGCTCAGAGCGGGGTGGGTTTGTGTGTGTGCTGTGAAGTTGCCCCTGTCTCTGCATTTGTCACCACTCCAGTCACAGAAGTGTCCATGGAACCCAGACAGGGTCGCTCACCTCTAACCGGGGTCTGTGGTCCTCTGCTGGTCTTGGCTGTTTTCTGCCAGGTGCTTTCCACTTCTCCCAGAGCTGGAATGTGGATTGTGTCACTGGCCATGGATTGTGTGGGGACAGTGATACCTAACAGGCAGAGCCGTTTAAGGACTTAGACGATAGAGCAGTATTAGTTGGGGTTTTTGTGGTTGCAGGCAATAAGAACCCTCTTATAATATAGGAAAAAAATAGAAAGAACTTCCTTCTTTTATCAAACTCAAAGATGCTTTTGGCTTAAAAATACACCAGGGCTGGAGCAATAGCACAGTGGGCAGGGTGTTTATCTTGCATGCGGCTGACCTGGGTTTGATTCCCAACATCCCATGTAGTCCCCAAAGCACTGCCAGGAGTAATTCCTCAGTGCATGAGCCAGGAGTGGCATATATGACCCCTGTGCATCTCTGGCTGTGACCCCAAAAGCAAAATAAATAAATAAATAAATAAACAAACTGTGTTTTGAGCTGAAGAGATAGCATGGGCGCTAAGGTGCTTATCTTGCATGTGGTGCCTGGGATTGAACTGCGGCTGGCTCTGCATATGACCCCATCCTCCAGTACTGTCTGGAGCTATCCCTGAGAGCCAGTGGGTGTAGCCCAAATCCCGCCTCCTTAAAAAAAAGGATTTTTTTTTTTTTTGGTTTTTAGTTTTTTTGTTTTTAGGTCACACTTGGTAGTCCTCAGGGCTTACTCCTGGCTCTGTGCTCAGGAATCACTTCTTGTGGTGCTCAGGTGATCTTGTAGGGTACCCAGAATAGATTCCAAGTTGGCCACATGCAAGCAAGTGTCCTTCCCACAGTATTATCATGTTTTTGGTGTGACACTTGGAAAGACAGACAGTCTTCCCAAGCACCATGACAAGAAAAACACGACATTCTACTGTGTTATCACTGGAATTGTTTGTGCTCATAAGAAGGGCTCGTTAAAACCTTATTAGCCACAGAGTTTTAGCACTGGCATCATCTGGTGCCTGTTGAAAACATAGCTTGAGTGATGTGCACTGGTTAAGGAGCTTCTCATTTTCCAGTTCCTGTGAACGACTCCTGGGCGGCCCTTGGCACCCCCGCAGGTACTTCCTGCCAGGCAGCCTTTCCTGAGAGGGGGCGCCCACCCTGCAAACAGATATCGGCCTTCCTTTCTGCTTTGCTTCTCTTTCCACTTCTCTTGCCCTGTTGTTGGAGTACCTGTCTGTGGTGTGCACAGGTTCCTGGGTGCAGTGCCTGCTGGGGCTCTCACATCAGGTCATGGTGCTCTCACAGTTGGCTGGGTGCTCACTGAGGGTTGTGATCCTTTGGTTGTGTTTTTTGTGCTCACAAGGGGCTTCTCTGAGTTGTGCTTGTACACCTGGGCCACTCTGGGCGAGTAGAGGCTCCAGGGCTGAACAGACAGTCTTGGGTTTGCAGTCCAAATGCTCTAATCTCTGGAGCAAACCCCCGGGCCCTGGCACTGACCTTCCTTCTTTCCTTCCTTCCTTCCTTCCTTCCTTCCTTCCTTCCTTCCTTCCTTCCATTTTTCCTTCCTTCCATTTTTCCTTCCTTCCTTCCTTCCTTCCTTCCTTCCTTCCTTCCTTCCTTCCTTCCTTCCTTCCTTCATTCTTCTTTCCTCTGTCTTTCTACCTTCCTTACTTCCTTTTTTCTTCCTTCTTCTCTACCTTCCTTTCTTTCTTCCTCCCTGACTCCCTTTCTTCCTCCCTCCCTCCATTCCTTCCTTCCTCCCTCTCTCTTTCTTCCTTCCTTCCTTCCTTCCTTCCTTCCTTCCTTCCTTCCTTCCTTCCTCCCTCCCTCCCTCCTTAACTTTATTAAACATCATGATTTAAAAAGTTGTTCATAATAAAGTTCTTTTAGGTATTCAGTGTTCTAACACCAATCCCATCATCAGTGTGACTTTTCCTTCACTATTGTCCCCAGTTTCCCACTTATACCCCCACCCCAACCCTGCCACGTTAGTGGGCATAAAAAAAATTCACTTTATATTGCTTGTTACAACATATCTCGCAGTGGTGTTACAAAAGTCAGTGAGAATTTACTGAGCTGTTTGATGCTAGTTGAGCCTTCTGTGTTACTGTTTTTGCTCACCAAGATTAGTGAGTTTCTATGAAACTTTCCCATCAGATTTTCTGTGCTCCTCCTTCTGGGCTGGCAGTTCTGTGAAATTCGGAGATGTTGCGTGTATGGCTGCGTGGTCCAGGATCTGTGGAACTGGGACAGTTTGTAGCTTGGCATCTCTCTGAGATTAGTCATAGAGCTGGCTCATTTACATGCCAGGGGGTGTCAGATATGGGTGGGGGCACTGGACCTCTTGCCAGGGTGGGGACTCAGCCTGCCTCCCTCTGAGAATATTACAGAGATCTCAGCCCAGAGACCGACCGAGCTTACCTGGGATGACTTGGCAGTGGTGAGATTAGTCCTAACCTTCCTTGATCCTACCAAAAGGTACCAGTGGAAAGTTTCAGGACAACAATCAGGCCTTATTTCCTTCCTCCAATAGCCCTTCAGTGGTTTGTCAGCTGAAACATCCAGTCAGGCCTCTGGGAGTAACAGCTCCATCAACATTAGTTGTGTCATCAGGGTCACCCTTCAGCGAGTTGGTGAGCACAGTCTGTGACCAGCACGTCACGCCTGTCATCTGAGTCATAGTTGCAGACACAGCCACAGCTTCTGAGATGATCACTCAAAGGGAAACAGCTATCCAGAAATTGGAACGGCGCATCCATGGGCTTGGGGAGCAAAGGAGGCCAGGAGTGCAGCTGATGCCAACAGCGGTTCAGGAAGCCAGGGAAGCTCCTCCTGGCTTCACTCACCTCCCCACTCCCTCTGCTACTGAACAGCCTCTCTTGTGGTGGTGCTTGGGGGCTACTTCTGTATTCAGGGGTGTTTGACATACCATGTGGTACCAGGGATCACACCTGGGCCTACCTCATGCAAAGCATGAACACTCTTTCCATCCCCTGTAGGATTTTTTTTTTCTTTTTGGGTCACACCCGGCGATGCACAGGGGTTACTCCTAGCTCGTGCACTCAGGAATTACTCCTGGCAGTGCTCAGGGGACCATATGGGATGCTGGGAATCGAACCCGGGTCGGCTGCATGCGAGGCAGTCGCTACCCGCTGTGCTATCTCTACAGCCCCAGGAAATTATTTTTAACTGTTCTCTCCTTCATATTATACACCTGGGAGCACATTCATTTAAAAAAATAATAATGATAATCTGCTTTTGTTAAAAAAAAAATACTGCATGCCTTTATGCTTGCCAGGATACCAGGTTTGCAAAAGAGAACATATAAAACCTAAATTATTTTGTACCCTTTACTCGTGAAGATATTTTTGTACTTGGTTTCACTAAATTCTGGTCTTTCTCGTGTTTTTCAGGTAGTTTATTTAAAACTCGGTGTACCTCTTGTGGAGTCGTGGCTGAGAATTATAAGAGTCCGATTTGTCCAGCATTAGCAGGAAAAGGGTAATTGTACTACACTCTAGACTACGCGTATTCTATTTTTCTAAGTTAGACATAGGTGCAAGAAAGTGGATCATTAGCGAGATCCACATGGATATTTATGAGGAATAAGACTATATACAAACAATAGGATTAAAGAAATATTTTGCTTGCAATTTACAACATTAAGAGAAAACAACAGAATATCTATACAATATGGTCTTATTTGTACTTAAGCTCACACACATGTTGTTGTATCTTTAGGTAAATGATAAAAACAGAAGAAAATAGATAAAATGTTAATGGTGATTACTAACCATGGGGGATTGTGGGTATGTGTGATTTCTTCCTTAATTCCCCCCAGCATTCCTGTGATGAACATATCCTATTATTAGGGGTAAAATGAAGAGTCAACAGAATACTGAGAAAAATTCTCTCTGGTCATGTTAGATCAGTATCAATCATACAAGTAAGAGACTACTATGAGGTGTCTGCAGGAGGTTTCAATCCTGATGACGGAGAGCATGAAAAGAACATGAGAAGGGAATAGGAAGTGAAAGAGAATAGGAAGTAGGAAGTGGGCTTCCTATTCCTTTACACCACCAGTGTCCTGAGGGAACACTACCGGGAGGGAATCAGCGTCCGTCTTCCCTGCAAATCAGCAGGTGTAGATTGATTCTGTACCACAAGCTACCAAGCAAACCCACAGATGTATGCCTGGACTGCTCCCGTGACATTCTTTCTTTTCTAATATTTTCACTTCAGGGCCCCAGACCCCGATGCCCAGGATGCCCGGATTCCAGTTGAGAATCTTCCCCGGTGGGTAAAAAAAAAAAAAAAAAAAAATCTCTGATGTTCCATAATGAAACACAAAAGTCAGGAATTAAAATACATCTGGGGGCTGGAGCAATAGCACAGCGGGCAGGGTGTTTGCCTTGTACGCGGCTGACCCGGGTTCGATTCCCAGCATCCCATATAGTCCCCCGAGCACCGCTAGGAGTCATTCATGAGTGCAGAGCCAGGAGTAAGCCCTGTGTATCGCCGGGTATGACCCAAAAAGAAAAAAATTGGGGACTATGCCTCTCAAATGCACACGCGGCCTGCTGGACCCATAGTCCAAGGACAGAGGGTGACCTCAGAGTTGAGGGTCTGCTGCTTCCCTGCATCTTCCACCTCTGTGCAGAAGATGAATTGAGAGAAGTGTCTAGATGGGTTGGGTTCCAGCTGCCATTTCAGTGCCTCTGAGACATAGAGACTGCACCCTGGAACTGGTCCAGAAATGTCAGCTGCCATCAGATTTATTCTTCTTTCTTCTCCTCGGTGCTGTTAATTCAGAGGACAGAGGCCTATAGAACCAATCAGTTTCTTTAAAAAAAAAACTTTTGGGGTGTTTCGGGACCATACCTAGTGATGCTTAGGCAGCACCTATGTTTGTATATAGCTAGTCTTATGCAGTGCTGGGAATTAACCCAAAGGCTTCCTCTTGCAAAGCATGTACCCCAGTCCTCAGAGGCATCTCCAGCACCCACACAGAAATTTTTATAGATTAAAAACAAAACCCTAGGAAGATTTTCATGCACATTTTTGGAAACCAGATATTAAGGCAAACAGCACTTCCAAGTGTTTCCTAGTGCATTAATTCCATGTGACATTGCTTGAAAAAAGCTGTTAATGGCTTACTCTTCAAGCCCGTGTTCTCCATGGAACATAGATCTCACTTGCTTCTCTCTTCTTAGCTTCTTTTTTTTCTATGCTTCTTTGCTTGCCTATTTCCATACTGCAGAAGCCCGTGTTCTTTCTTCTTGAACTTCTCTTTCTTGAGCTTCTCTTTCTCTCCACTCATACCTTTCTTAATAAGTCTCCATAAAAACTTATCTTGCTTCAGGGCCAGAGCGATAGTACAGCAGGTAGAGTATTTGCCTTGCGCGCGGTCAACCTGAATTCGGTCCCTGGCATCCCATATGGTCCCCCAGCACTGCCAGGAGTAATTCCTGAGTGCAAAGCCAGGAGTAAGTCCTGAGCATCGCTGGGTGTGACCCAAAAAGCAAAGCAAAACAAAACAAAACAAAAACAAACTATCTTTCTTGCTTCACAAAAAAAAAAAAAGAAAGAAAGAAAGAAAGAAAGAAAAGTAGAAGAAAGAAGGAATGAAAGCTGTGATGTGCTCATAGGAAAAAAATATTTTATTTCAGGCAGTTTTTCTCAAAGAATTTAACAGACTAAAGTTCAAGAAGACTCTCTAAAAAAATACGCATATATTGAACATGTCAATGGATTGTTTAATCACAGCATTTTAAAACATTTCCTAAAGATTTTCTTCTTTCTTTTTTTCTTTTTGTTCTTTGGCCACACTCGGTGGTGCTCAGGGGTTACTCCTGGCTCCGCGCTCAGGAATAGCTCCTGAGAGGGTTTGGGGAACCATGTGTGTGCCAGGCCAGCTGTGTGGAACCTACCCGCTGTACTATCCTCTGTTCCCTCCTGAGGGTTTTCATAGCTTCTGACCTGCAAGAGCAGGCAACAGGCTGGGTAAACACCCCCTTCCTCACAGGTGCGAAGAGGCCGGCTGCGGGGGCTTGCTGCGGCCTCACGTCGTGTGGTTTGGTGAAAATTTGGATCCGGTTGTTCTGGAAGCAGTTGACACAGAACTGGCCCTCTGTGACTTGTGCCTCGTGGTAAGCCTACTCTACTTGTTTGTTTGGTTTTTTTTTTGTAACTCTCAGACTGGGGTAAGATTGTTCCCCCTCCCTGTTCTTCCCTCCTCCTCCCTCTCTCTCTCTCTCTCTCTCTCTCTCTCTCTCTTCCTTTTTCCCCCTAAGATGTGTGTTGTGAGGTGCTGGAGTATCTGGCCTCTACAAAGTCTAGGAAGGAATGAAAAACAATAGATCTTGGGAGCTGGAATGATAGTACAGCGGGTAGGGCATTTGCCTTGCATGCTGCTGACCCAGGTTCAATCTCCAGCATCCTATATGGTCCCCTGAGCACAGCCAGGAGTGATAGGAGTGATTCCTGAGTTCATGAGCCAGGAGTAGCCCCTGTGCCTCGCCAGTGTGATCCAAAAAGCTAAAAAACAGGAAAAAAAAAAAAGAATAGATCTTAAACTGTGAAACAATGCAGCACTATTCTATGCTTCTTAAAGCTGCCCTCTATCCCCTCACAAGAAACAATGAAAAGTGCATGTGATTGGTTCTGAGACTAACACATGCTTATAATCTAATTGATAAAATAATAAAAGTACGTAACAAAGAGGAAGTTAGGAATATTAGGAGTTTGGCAATTGCACCACCAAGTGTTTTGGTGCTAGGACTGAGGTGTGCGAACTCTGGGCCCAGGGTGAGCTGCCTGTCTGGGGAAATAACATTCAACTGGATCATGACCTTTCCCCTTCTGTATTTTATCAGGAGATTTTCACATTGTCATGGCAGGCTGGGGTTTTGTTAGATTCATATGAAGAAAACATCCATCAAAAAGAATAAACGTCCAAATTGAGCAGTGATTATCTTGGGGTCATTGGGTTGTGAGCAACATGCATATGTATTTTTATTATCTAACTTAAATTAAAAGAGGAGGAGCGAGAATATGGCTTATATGCATCACTTAAAGAAACAGAAACAAAAATAAAGATAGTTCAATGGGGAGGGCATTTGCCTTGTACGTGGCTGACCTGGGTTCAATCTCCCAAACAATATGTATGGTCCCCTGAGTACCGCCAGGCGTCATTCCTGGGTGCAGAGACAGGAGTAACCCTTGAACATTGCTGGCTGTGACACAAAAGCCCCCCCCCCCCAAAAAAAAATCCAAAACAAAAAAATAAAGCAAGAAAAAACCAAAAAGGTGTGAAACAGAAATATAAATAAAGCAACCCCCATGGGTGATGTTTGAGCCAATCTATTCACCTCCACTCCCCCTACTTGCATGGCATGTGAAAAGTCAGAGCCCAGGTCTCTCTGGTGCTGGCCAGCGGGTCGCATCAGGACACCCGCTTGTCCTTTGCACCCTCTTCAGCTGTCCTCGAGGCTGCAGCCACCAGCAGGCCGGGGTTCAGGTGAGTTTCCTGGAGCACGTTTCTTCTCCCCAGAGTTTGCTCACTGCCCGTTTCCATGCGTTTGTTTTCCAGGTAGGGACGTCCTCGGTGGTTTATCCTGCTGCCATGTTTGCCCCCCAGGTGTCGGCCCGCGGAGTGCCCGTGGCTGAATTTAACACGGAAGTTACCCCAGCCACTGACAGATTCAGGTACCCGGAGGACCATGGGGGGAGGAGGAAGGTGATGGCGAGTGTGTCTGGTCACTTGGATGGATTTTGCTGGCTTTCTAATTTAAAAAAAAAAAAGATATTTTCTGTTCTCCTACGTGGTTGGAAATTGCTTTGAAGGAAGAGAAGAGTGTGAGCTGGAGGCTTAGAAGACTGTCCTTTATGGAGGCTGCGCTGTCAGGCTCTTGGGGGCCATGCCTGGGAGTGCTCAGGGCTTCCTCCTGGCTCTGTACTCAGGGATCACTCCTGGCATGCTCGGAGGACCTAATAGGGTGCTGGGGATAGAACCCGGTCAACTACATATGACAAGCACCTTGCCCGCTGTTCTTTCTCTAGCCAGGATTTAGGGAATTTTTTTTTAGAAGATTTTTTTTTAAACAGTTTTATAATGTAATGCTATTTGAATACATTTTTTTTAATTGATTCACCGTGAGGTCATGATCACGATCACCATCACGATCATCCTGTTGTTCGTCGATTGCCTCGAGCAGGCACCAGTAATGTCTCCTTCGTCCCAACCCTGAGATTTTAAAAAGTGCCACATTCAAGGCTCTTTCAGGCTTAGGAGAATGAGACCCATCATTGTTACTGGTATTTGGCATATTGGGTACGCCACGGGGAGTTTGCCAGACTCTGCTGTGTGGGCAGGTTACATTCAGTAACCTGCCAGGTTGTCCAAAGTAGGAACGAGATAATAAGATGTCGCACTTGGGGCGGGGAGGGAAACTCATCTTATTATCACCGTGAGGTACACTAACAAAACTTTCATGTTTGAGCTTCGATCATGCAGTCATCAAATACCCATCCCTTCACCAGAGGCCGTTTTCCACCACCAAAATCTCCAGTTTCCACCATCCCCCCCCACAACCAACTTTCACACCTCTCCCTGTCTGTATGGCAGATAATTTGCACAATACTCTCTTTTCTCTACTTTAGTTACCGTCAATATTTCGAGACCAGTCGCACTGCCCCTCATATCTGCCAAAAATGCCATGCTAGACAATGTGTGATGTATTATTTGTTATGAATACAATATAATGTCACACGGCTGCTCTAGGGATTCTAAACTTTTAATAATTAGGATCTGGAAAGATTGCTGCAGCAAGTTGCTCGGGTCCGAGGTTCATTTGTGTGTTTCTGGTTCGTGGCCGTGTGGGAGCTTAAGTAGACGGTGACCGGATATGGCGTCATCTCGGAGTCCCATGGGGTGGGGGGAAGGAGAAGGGCCCACTCCTCCTCTGTCCTGTTAGACTTGGGATTTGCCTCCACTGCCACTCGGACCTGGAGCTTCTCGCTGACTTCTAGAAAATGGTGGCCGTCAGGGCTCTTAGAGGGCAGGCGGAGGAAGATCTTTTTTGAGTCTTGCTGCTTTGCTTTCATGGGTATTTGTTTATTTATTTGTCTTATTTAGCCTATTAATCTCTTTGGCTGTTTTGTAGGGGAACACCTAGGGTAGAGTCCAGTGCCTCATACACTGCTAAGTCATATATACCCCCTGCTGATATGAATGTCTTCTTTCTTTCTTTCTTTCTTTCTTTCTTTCTTTCTTTCTTTCTTTCTTTCTTTCTCTTTTTTGGGGTCACACCTGGCAATTCTCAGTGGTTCCTCCTGACTTCGCACTCAGGAATTACTCCTGTCCATGCTCGGGGGACAAGATGGGATGCTGGGAATCAAATCCAGGTCAGCCGTGTGCACGGCAAATGCCCTCCCTGCTGTGCTATCGCTCTAGCCCTTGTGTTGCATTTTCTCATCTCTTCTTTTATGGGGACCCATCTGGTGGTGCTCAGGGGTGCTGTGTGGTGCTAGGGATCAAATCCAAGGTGAGCATGTATGGAAACTCCTGAGCTATCTCCTGGCCCTTCCCGAGGTTGAATGCAAGGTTTAGTAGCAGCCGGGAACGACCCTGGTGCTCATCAGGGAGCCAGAGAGCCTGAGCACCTTCCAGCCCAGGGCCTGCTCCCTTTCCTGACTGCTCTGTGCTGTCGCTTACCTTTTGGGGTCCATCAACTGTCCTCACCTTTGTTTGCTTTTCACGTGGACGTTTTATCACTTGCTTTTATCTCAGAAGTTCTTGTCAGTCTCGTGAACTCCTATCTAGGGCGAGAGTATGAGTAGCTCAGAAGCAAATAGGAATCGACAGAATACTTCTTGTTGTGGTTTAAATCAGAGGTTTTCACCTCCCCTGCATACTGAGGTGCCCGGAGGCCATGGGGTGCCGAGGATCAAAGCCGAGGCCCCGGGCACAACAGATTCAATGCTGTGAGCCTTTGTCGCAGCCCATCAGCTGCCCACATCAGATCGTGCCAACATGAGATGCCACCAGGAGATGCTGCTGGCATTGGTGTGCAGTGTAGATATTGATCTCAGTCTTTACTGGAATTAAGAACAAGAAATGCCTCAGACCTGCAGGGACTTTGAAGGTGATTCCGCTCAGCTCTGCTCTGGTGCTTGGCTTTTGTCCTCCATCTCTCTGGGTCTCTCGTCAGCCACAGCCTCTGTTCCTGGTCGCATAGTTCATCTCTGCATAAGTGGCAGAGGCTGGGACTCAGAGAACCCCAAAATGTTGTTGGATGGAAGAGAGAAGACCCACCCCGTGTCCACGGGCTTGGCTGCTCAATGCCGCTGTCTTGGCAAGTTGCCTCCAAACTGTCCTTGGGTGTGTCCAGTCGCTGTCAAAATTGCAGCTCACTTTCCCGAGATAAACAAGGTCACTCTGACATGCCTATGAAGATGGAAGGGATTCAAAATACCCAAATCAAAAAGGGAGGGGAGTGGAGAACTCACAATATGAAAATGACCAGCTTGAGAACTCGCTCCGTTCTGGGGAAACGGCCTGCAAATTCCTGAGATGTCAGACTTTGCTTTTTTGCTTTCTGGAGATGCCTAAGCCCGAGTTCTCACTTGAATACACAGCTCTCAGGTTTTGCTCCCTACATTGCCCAAATAAACTCGGAGAGAAGAAGGGAGGGAGGGAAGGAGGGAGGGAGGGAGGGAGAAAAAACTTGCTACAAAGTTATAGTAGTAAAGGCCTGAGGGAGTACAGTTGGTGGGGCACTTGCCTTGCATATGGCCAACCTGGGTTTGATTCCTGGTACTGTATATGGTTTTTCAAGTCCCACCAGGCGTGATCCCTGAGCACAAAGTCAGGAGTAAGTCCTGAGCACCACTGAGTGCGGCTGAGAAACAAAAGAAAACAAAAATGTAGCAGCACAAACATATAGCCAATCTATTAAAAGTCAGTTGTTTCCTAACTTCTCCACTGAGAAATGAACATTATGCCTCTAATATATATTGTGGCACGTTTGCTTATCTACTGCACTAGTGAGCATCATTACAAGTAATACCAGAGCCCAGTTAACTTTAACATATTGTCTGCTTGAAAGAGCATCAGAAAATTTCAAGAGTGGAACAGATAGACTCTCTAGGGCAGTAAATAAGCTACATGCCCAATCCCGTTCTTATTTTTTTTTTAATTTCACTTAATCACTTAACTTCCCGTTAGTCGTCGATTTGCTCGAGCGGGCGCCAGTAACGTCTCCATTTGTCCCTGTCGCGTGCTAGTGTAGCTCAATGGCATCTCTTCGCTCCGGGAACATGGAGGGCCTCAAACCGATCGTTCATGACCTTGACAAAGAAGTCTGACCATCTGGTAGGTGGGCGGCCACGCGGTCTCTTGACATCCCGTGGAATCCAATCAGTAACAGCTCTAGTCCAACGGTCGTCTTTAAATCTCATTACGTGACCAGCCCATCTGATTTTCGACACCTTGGCATATGAGACAGCGTCCCTGATCCTTGATCGTCGACGGATGTCAGAACTCCGGATTCGTTCTCTCATTTGAGTGAAACGTGATATTCCAAGCATAGCTCTTTCTATTCTTCTTTGGGAGACCTGAATGGCATTCTCATCTTGTTTGCGTAGGGCCCAGGTCTCTGAGGCATATGTTAAAGCAGGAAGAACAGTGGAATCAAAGAGATGTGCCCGGAGCCGGAGGTTCTTCGTCCTCTTAGCTATTTCTTCGACGTTCTTGAAGGCGTTCCAAGCCGCTCTCTTCCTCCTGCGCAGCTCGGGTGCCAGGTCATTTGTCATGTTGACCTCTCGACCTAGGTACACATAGCTGTTGCATTCAGAGATGGTCGTTCCATTGAGAGCGAATGGGGCGTCAGGAACAAGGCTGTTTCTCATAAACATTGTCTTCGTAAGATTCAGCTGTAGTCCTACCTTTCCACACTCACGGTCAAAGTCGGCCAGCATTTGTGCCGCTTGGCTGATGTTTGGTGTTATTAAAACAATGTCATCAGCAAAGCGGAGGTGGTGTAGTTGCCGACCATCTATCTTCACTCCCATTCCTTCCCATTCCAGTCGTCGCATGATGTTCTCGAGGGTGGCACTGAAGAGTTTTGGTGAAATGGTATCACCCTGCCGCACCCCTCTCTTGACATCAACGATCACTTCTTTGTAGAATGGTGAGATCCTGGTAGTGAATCCGCAATACAGCTCACGGAGGATCCTGATGTATTGGGCTTGAATGCCCTGATTGGCTAGGGCTTCAATGACCGCTTCTGTCTCAACAGAATCAAAGGCCTTCTTTAAATCAATGAACGTTAAGCAGAGCGGCATCTTGAACTCCCGAGAAACCTCAATGAGTTTGGTTATCGTGTGGATATGGTCGATGGTGCTGAATCCTTTGCGGAACCCTGCTTGCTCACATGGTTGTCCTTCATCTAGTGTTCTGCCAATCCTATTCAGGATGACTCGAGTGAACAACTTGTAGATGACAGACAATAGGCAGATCGGGCGATAGTTGCCAATGTCATGGATGTCTCCCTTCTTGAACAGTAGTACGGTCCTGCTGGTTTTCCATTGAGATGGAACCTTGCATTCAGACAGGTAGCGAGTGAAGAGCCGAGCCAGTGTATTGATGAGTACTGACGGCAGGTTCTTCAGGTGTTCAGGTCTGACCTTGTCTGGGCCGGGTGCTG